GAATTTCGGGTGGGGGATTTCGTTTTGCTGAAAGTGTCGCCCTGGAATGGGATTATCAAGTTTCGTAAGAGGGCCAAGTTGGGGCCTTGGTTCATAGGCCCATTCAGGATCATAGCCCGAATGGGTAAGGTGACATATTGTTTAGAGCTTCCAGAGGAGCTTAGTCAGATTAACACCTTCCACGTGTCCCAACATTGGAAGTGTGTTGCTGACGAGTACGCAGTTGTTTCCTTGGATGCCATTCAGGTGGATGGGAGCATGAATTATGTCGAGAAGTCGGTCTCCATCTTAGATAAGAAGACGAAGGGTCTTCCCAACAAGACACTGAAGTTGGTAAAGGTACAATGGCAGCACCGGAAGGGCTCCGAATGGACTTGGGAGCCGGAGGAGGAGATGCAGGAGCATTATCCTGATCTGTTTACGGCTATGGACTTCAAGAACGAAGTCTAGTTCAAGTGGGGGAGGTTAGTAACACCCAAAACCTGGTACATCTTGAAACCCTCAAGAATTTACGTTTAAGCATAATTGGTCCCTTGAGTACGCTGGGCGTACCTATGAGTACGCTTAGCGTACTTTGCATGAATGATCGCGGAGGAGCCTCACGTACGCTGGGCGTACGTGAGGGTATGTTGGGCTTACGCGTCAGAGGGTCAAAACCCTAAATCCCGAACTTGTTCCCATATTTAATCATCCTTTAGCCTCTTGGACCAAACCCTATCAGCCTCTTGAGTCTCTTTTCATCTACTTTTAGTTGTCGTATTGTGTGTGAGAGTTTTGAGCTTAAGGAGAGGGTTTTGGTGGGCATTTTAGAGTTCTTTCAAGAAGGAGAAGTGGTTGTGCAAGCTTGGAATGAGTTGGTGCTTCAAGATCCCACTTATTAGTCATCTTGCAAAGCTTCTGGAGGTATAAAGCTTGCACCTTTCCATCTTAATCTCTAGATCTAGTTAGGGTTTCTTGTTTGGTCTTTTTTTGGATGATTTTGGACCTCATTTGAGAGTTAAGCAACTCCAGGAGAAGGGATAGACAGATCTGAGGTCCTTTGGTCCTTTAGTACCATAAAAATGGAAGCTTGATGAGAGCTTTGGCCTCATGCATGGGCTAAAGACCTTGGAAAGGTCTTAATAGAGAAGTTGGGTGTGTATCAGTCATGCACAGGCATAAAGTTGCCAAATTTATGCCTTAGGACATCTTTACATACTTAGATCTGGCTTTTGGACGTAAAGGACTCGAGTATTAAGCACTTCATAGGGAAAGTACTTAAACTGAGGGTATGCTGGGCGTAACCCAGTGTACGTGGGGTGTAGTCCCATGTCCCAGTACGATGCGCATACCAGGATGGTACGCCAAGCGTACGCAATGTAGATGAGCCGAAACCTGTTTTGGGCCTTTAGGCTATTTAGGCCTCATTTGATTATTGGGCCTGGTGTAATGTGGGAATTATGAGTCATATAATTGTTGCGGGCCATGAAATTAATGTTGGGCCTTTATTGGGCCAACAAGCCCGTTAAGGATTTTAGACGTAGCCTTTGGGCCCATTAGCAATGGATGGATATTTGGGCCTTATGGAAGGGTTGGGAAGCTGGGTTCCCTTGGTTAACCAAAGTTCGAACATTGATTAATATTATCATTCAGCTTGGGAGGTTTTAGACTGTTAAAGGAGTAGCTATTGTATTCAACAGACAGAGGTGAGGCTTCTCACCATACCCATGGGTCTAAGGCACCAAATCCGGCCCATTATGTGTTTATGGTATATATGTTATGATGGGTTTTATGCATAAGAACTTTCCTATGTGCTCATACAAACCCTAATACTTGGATCTAGGTTTCTCTATTGTACATGCAATTCATCCAAGTCTCTCAAACCCTAGATCTATCATAATATGAACTGAATTAGAGTTTATAAATTACTTTCGATTGTTATGTAGCAATAACAATCAATTCCTTCCTTTGATTGGCTTCAGAAAGCTTAGTGTCTCAAGTGTTGCACCTCTAATGGAGTCACAAACACCATGAGCAACAAGGATGAAGAGGAGAAGAGAGGAAGCAACCAAAAACGTCTAGAATCCCTAAAGGAAGTCTTAGCCACATTTTTGGGGCCATAGGGGTCCTTTATATATGTAGGCTATTATGGGTTTCAACTAGGAAACCCTAATCTGACTGCTTAAGCCCTAAGCAGTCCATGGACTCCTTTAGAATACCTCTTGGACGAATTCCTTATGGGCTTCCCATAGAATTCGTCCAACCTATATTCCATGGTGATCCATAGCCCAATTGTAATTATCTTATAATTACAAATCCAGTCCCTTAATTTTAATTAATCTCTTTTAGCCACAAAATTAATTCTTAACTAATATCAGTTAAACAATATGATTTCTCCTTTAATATATTATTCTTATAATATATTAATAAATCATAATTAAACCTTTCTCTTTCCATAATTCATCCTACATGTTGCTATGGTGAAGGCAGCCCAAAAGGACCATGCTCATAATCGAGTCAAGTACATACAAAAATAGTTATGGACTTAGACACTAATCCAACATGTTAGCTATTATGTGATTTTATATAATATGTGATTTTGTGTTTTGCATGAAGACCCCGGGGGGAGCCCGTGACATTAGATGTAAGACCATACGGGGTAGCTCATGGCAGTCCTAGGTAAAGACCATGTAGGGTAGCCTATGACATTGGATGTAAGACCATGTGGGGTAGCTTATGACAGTCCTAGGTAAAGACCATGTGGGGTAGCCCATAACGTTGGATGTAAGACCATGTGGGGTAGCCCATGTCAATCCTAGGTAAAGACCATGTGGGGTAACCCATGGCAGTCTTACAGGCTTTGTGTATGCATGGTTTATGTGATATGTGTGTAGCTTTAATTAGCTAAGAGGACATGTGTATGTGTGGTGTGTGGTATGCTCTGGGAAACTCACTAAGCATTTCACTTACAAGTTGTTGATTTGTTTCAAGTATATCTGAGCCCAAGGGCAAGGACAAGGTGTGATGGCGCAGCGTGCACTCTATCATTCTCTTTCACTGTTAGAATTGGGGACATTCTGATGATTTGAATAAGTTGTAATGAAATGATGATTTGAAAACAATTAAGTTGGGATTTATGGTTTAAGCATTTATGTTATATTAATTAAAAAGTAAAAATTTTCTTTTAAAATTTGGGTTGTTACAAATATCTCTTAAATTTTTATGATTTTTGGAAAATTTTGTTTTCTGGGTTTTTTTATAAAAAAAAAATAAAAAATATTTTTTTTCTCAAATTTTCATGGTTTTGTTCATTTTGTATAGTATTAAATTTTAAGAAGTTTAGCTTTTTCATTTTTTTCAAAGAAAGAAAAAGTTATGGCCAAAAAATAAAATAGGTGGAGAAATAGACATAAAACCAGTGCTAATTGACATAAAAACCAGCTAGTTCGCTCTGGTTCAATAATAGACATAAAACTGATGCTAACTGAACCGTTCTCTTTCCCGGTTTTCGGTCCAACCGGTTCGACCGTTCGGTTCAAACAGATTTTTAAAACAGTCTTTATTACCTCAATTTCTTTATGAAGTATATTGTTGTCTTTTTTGTAAAGTATTTATTGTCACTTCAGATGTTGTTAGATTTTCATAACCATTGTTATCAACAAGATGGTTTGATATTGATCACTTGAAATATAAGAATTATGAAAGGAAATTTTTCAATGGCTTTCTCTTTCAAAAGAAATTGTTAGGCTTTCATAGTTTCATGTATAGCTCTACCAGTTTCAAACTTTAATAAGCTCAAATAGATAGACACTCCGTTAACATATTTTAAACCACAAGCTTTGATTGAATATCATAATAGATGAAACCAACATATCAAATACCATAAAATATAAGAAAAAAAAAAAGAGGCAAGTAAAAGAGTCAAGAACAAAGTTGATGTCACATGTAATTTTTAAGAAAAAGTATGATTAGTTATTAGCAACTTGTCTCATGGTTGATAGTATATGTTCTAATGACAACAACTAACATTATTAGATAAAGGGAAAATGAAATGTGGGTGAAAGGTCTTAGTCACACTACATTTCCAAACAAAATACACTTCCTTTTATTTCTCTTTATCAATCTTTTGAATTTTGTATTATATGTTTTCTCCCCGAATAAGAATCAATCCATTACTTCTCTTTTTCACTTCCACTTCAAAGATTTCTCTTTTAAGCAATGCTTTTAAGTGATGCTTATATCAACTTCTACATGGATATAGTTTCTTGCATGATGAATATTCATATAGTAACCGATTGTTCCATACATTTTCAGCAATATTATGATATAATAATTTAGTTTACAAAAGATCAATATCAAACTACTAATTAATTATTAAAAACTATGTAACAAAAAGTTAAAAAGGACAAGGAAATGGATTTGGATGAAGGGGGTGAGTTGGAAAAGCATTATCTTTAAATGCAATGCATGATGCAACATGCTTCACACCTGAAAAAGATTGAAAAATACACGAATGATATCAATCATGAAAGATGCTCTTAATAATGAACCAAAAGTGGTGTAGGCAAACAATGACAAATGAATGTTGACTCATAGTGCTCCACCATATTTATGTTCCATGACCACAACTTTCTTACATCTTCTTACATTTGTTTATTTCATGAATCGAATCTTGTTATGTTATTGTTACTTTGTATTCTTCCAACTTTTTCTTTCCCCTATTGCCCCCATCAAGATGCCTCTCTAATTGGCAACCCACATACACCAATCCTTTCCTCTTCTTTTTCTTTTCCTTCCCATCTTTTGATTCTAAAATTCATGAGGTCATTATGTTAGGCCTTTATGCCTTCCAAATGGACAATATATGAAAGACATCTGTTCCATAAATATTACTTTACTTAAAACATCATATCAAGATTAGTGTAATAAACTAATCATACATAGTTACATACAAAAACTATACTATAAGTAATGATATGTGTTCTTGTTGTACCCTTGTTCTTGATTTTTCAAATTGAAGTTTACCAAAGGCAATCAATAGCATGCATTAATTTTCTTCTAGGTCCAACTGCAACTGCACCCATATCTTTGAGCTTCTTCATGGTGAGATTGACCAATTGCATCTTGCCAACACGTTTGCACCTAAAAATCTTGACAAATTGACCGAGTCCCAAAGACACAAGCCAACTGTTGAGCCCACCTGCTCTCTTAAGCTTTCTCTCAAGATTCAAAGCCCTCATCTTTGTATTCACCAACATGTGTCCATTCACCAAATTCCCACAATATTTTCTTGGTTTCGGGATCTTGTAATGTGAGTTTACTAATTTACCCCTATGGTTCATCAACTTTCGTGGGCTGGAAAGTGTCGTGATGGGTTTTGTGTTGACTAATGGCAATGGCATGGGTGGATCAGGCTGTGAAGGTGCAATATGATCGTCAACTTCTTGGATGGCTATTGGCTGTAATGGACTGCCACCTGGAATAGGCATCGGGGATTGTTGGGTAAAAAAGGGTAATGGAGGGATCAAAATTGTAACTTTTTGCTTCTTGACAATCACCCAACCGTCTTGTACACATTCCTCGAAGTCGTTTGGAGGTTGCTTCTGCTTTGATTTTGCCATTTTCATGAAAACCTAATTCATAAATACACCAAACATCAAGGAAAAAAAAAACTTGTGTAATTGAAGGCGATAACTATACTCTGATAAACCATACTCTGATAATTTGTAGTTAAAACTCACAGATTGAATAGAAAATGAGTTATAGACTTATTGTGCATTTATATCAGTGAAAGGTTGAGATAAGAAAATGAAACTATATAAGAACAATGTATGCTCTACAGTATATTGCATTGGTAAAATCTGGGTATCTTGTCTCCCCTTCACACTTTTGGAACTGAAACTCTTAGTATCGATCCAGTGGATCTTGCAATTTGGTGCCCTAATTTGTGCATAAAAACCAACAACCTTCAAATTGGTCGCAAAGTTAAACCTAAAGATTGTAATTAGCTATTAAAAGAATTTAAAACATAAAAGGGGTGGAAATAAATCTAAGAAATATTTGTTGCTTAGTTCCACTGGGTTAAGAACCGAGATCAGGAAAAGAGTAATAAAAGCAACAGGCTGGGGGCAATCTAATCATGCATAAGAGAGCTAATTTGAATTTCTGGATAAATCTTTGATAAACTGACCAAAGTGTTGGATGAATTCAATACAATATTGGTCCATCTTGGTCGATTTCCATCTGAAAGTAACTATTATACTTATATTATGAATAATTTCTTATAAAACAATATGAAATCAAGATGAACAATTTCTGGGTTCGAATATGATCTAGAGTACGCTCTTAATCCCAAGAACATTGCTTAGTTCAAGTGATAAATGTGATTATATGTCCAAATCTAACCTATCCTTTCCATATAAACAAATTAATGTCACCAATTAGGAAATTCTGTGATTCACGTCCCAAAAGGGAGTTACACACAGTATAACAGAAACATGTAACTGATCCCACAAATTTCATCAGATTTTCATAAAGACTAACCAAAGAAGAAGGTTTCAGTAGATAATCGATTTCTGGGACTGGGTGTTACTGCAAAAAAAAAAAAAAAAAAATGATTTCTGTATAAGAGAAACATACCGATAGATGGCTGTCGCTGACGGAGGGTCAAGGTGGGAGAAGGGCGGCGGTAGCGTAGGGCGGTGCTGGAGGTGGTTGTCGCTGGTGTGCTTGGCGTAGGAAGCAGGAAAGCAGACGGCAAAGGGGGACGAGCGTCTTATTTTTCATTCAGATATAACTTAGAGCTGGCCCATTCAGAAGTGGGTGAACGACTGAACAATTCAGAGATCATGGATTCAGATTTCAAAACAATTAAAAAACTTAGGATAATGACTTGAAAAGATTAACCAACTATACATTATACATATTTATTATATATATTTGATCACTTAACTATTTTCGGTGCAATGTTAATACTTAAACTTTTTTTTTTTTTTTTAACATAATATTATGGCCAACAATAGAGGTTTTTCGTTTTGTCAGCGCCTTTACAGACGAAGTATGAATTTTTCGGCCTTTTTTTCCGGGAAAAATATTTTTTCTGCGAGATGCTCTCTTTCTTATCTTATTTATAGTTCTAAGATCTAGAATATGAACACAAACAAATTTCAAGATTCCTTTTAGATTTCAAAGCTTCATTTCATACTTTGAACAAGGACAAAAAAAATCCTAAATGATTTCAGATGTCAAGCTTCTTTTGGAGTTTCATTTCGTTTGTTCGGATTCATATTCAATTTTGAAGAACAAGAACCCACATACAACCAATTTCCTTTTGGAGAACCAACATGAGACTTCATTGTTCTTCTCCCACATAAACACACATATGAAGAACCCATTGATTTTCTGGTTACAATTTGGATTCGATTTGGGTGTTTTTAGTAAAATGAAACCTTGGTTTAGGGCTTTTTATGGGTTATACATACACACACATACACGATGAACACAATAACAAGTACTGGTTTGTTTTTCATATTCGAGTTTGTTCTTCGTTTGTTCAGATTCAAGTTTTTAGTTTTTTTTTTTTATTTGTGATTTATGTTAAAGATGCAGCTTCGATTTTTCGATTTGGTGTGTGTATATGGGTTTACCCACACGATGAACACAACTAAACTCAAAAAAAGTTTGAACTTCAAAACTTGAAAAACCATTCAAACCCTTGAATTTCAAAACTCGAAAATCTCTTGAAACCTTGGAAAACTGATATGAGTTTCAATTTATTGGACTCACGATGCTAAAACGATTTTAGAAATGGAGTTAAGTTAAGATGGTGTGTGTATGTGTGTGTGTGTTTGTTCTTAAGGAAGCTTCAAGTTTGTTCTCGAGAAGGTGGCCGGAAAACTCATGTTTGCCGGGAAAGACAACGGAAACCGACAAAAACTCACTATACCTGATCATACTTGTATAATGTACATTTTTCAACAAATTTAAGAGTTAATAAAACACTATAAACAATTTAGTGATCAAATGTGACCAAAAGCTAAAATACCTTACCTTTCAAGTCATTATCCTAAAATCTTAATAGAATCACTTGGCGAGATAACACAAATCATTAAAAACACCTTTTATATTTGGATCTTAGGCATGTAAAGCATCGTTCAGAACATTGATTAGATAAGATTGGATCCTTTCAAAAAACTCCGTTAAGTAGAGCTTCACATGAATCCTTTCTAATTCGTTATCTACATCCTTCTCCATTATCTTGTGTACAACCATAAAAAATAAAATAAAAAAATAAAAAAAAAAAAACTTTGAAGGGATCACTACATGTATAGAAAATGAGAAAAACGTTGTGATTCACAATCACAAACTCACCTTCTAGTATTACTAGTAATGAAAGATGCTTTTTGTCCGAGACCGACCATTAGCACTGTTATTTCTCCTAAAAAAAGGTAACTAGACTTTAGATTCATGATAAGTAACTCGTCTTTTCCAAGAGTGCATTTTGAAAGGACATCATTATGGTGCAGATGGAGAAGGAGGGTCACAAATGACAGTGACGATGTTAGTCTCATCGGGGAAGGGTTGCAGAGCTTCATCACAAAAGTGATGGGGTTATCGGGGAAGGTGAAACAGAAGGGGTGGATTGTTGAAAGGAGACATTGTTTTCTTCGTCATTTTTCTTTTTCCATTCGTTTTCCATCTATTTGGGTGGAACTAAAAGTTTAATTATTAGTCTCATCAGACTTAATAATAATAATAACAACAACAACAGCAACAACAACAACAACAACAATAATAATAATAATAATAATAATAATAATAATAATAATAATAATAATAATAATCCTTGTTCTCGTCTCATGCGTTCTAAACGCCTCTAAAAAGTAGTTTGTTTTGTTTCATTCCGTCTAGTTCTGCTCACCAAACGCTACCTAAAGGAACAACAACATATTCAATGGCAAAGTTATGAATTATAATTCCATCTTAAATGAGGTTTAAATGACACGTTTTAGTTTAATACTAGAGTTAGGATTAAGTGATATTTGACTTTGGTAACCTTAACTATATAGTTCTTATGAGATATATTGCTTTCATGACTTTAAAGCACATTGTGATGGGGAAGATATACACACCCCATATCAAGTGACACTCGGTTCTTAGTCGCGATCAATGTGTGTTATTGGTTTATATTTGTTCTCCCAAATATTATAAGGGTTAACATCCCCATCAAACACATTAACCTATGACCTAGCTCTGATACTATTTATAACATCCCATATAGCACATACCCAGGGGGTGTGCCCGGCGCATGATCCGTATCATGAAATGGGGTAATTTTTCATATGTTTTATAAATTTATGTTGCCGTTGATTCGTCGTTAATATGTCAAAAACATGTGGCTTTTATCACGGTTCCATCCCTAATGAAGTTGCTTATATATATATATATACATATATATATATATATATATATATATATATATATATATATATATATATACTACCTTATAAAAGAAATCTTACTATTTCTATAAATAGAAACAATATAATAATAATATTTTTTTTAAGACATTCAAGTCTTTAAGTTTAAAGTACAACCAACTATTAATATAATAATATTATAATATATATCTTACAAATGATAATGCTAGGGATACAATTAATAAAAAACACATTTAAATTAGTATTTCCTTATTTTTAGGGATTGAATTAGTATTTTCATGAATTTTGACCCAACTTTTACTCCTAAAATATCTCTTCTCTGGTATTTGGTGAATTCGAAATCTGAAACACTTCTTTTCCACAAATCGTTTGAAATTTAAAAACTCATTTAAATTGGAGTTTCCTAATTTTTTGTATAAAATATAATTGACTAGAGACTAATTCAAATCTTCATCTCCTTTTCCTCCATGGAATCCACCACCACAATATTTTTTGGTTTTGGCATTGCAATTTTTATTTTTGTGAAACCGATCAATAATGGTGCAAGTATTCTTAAAAATATAACATGTCTCCGAATGGAACTAATTGCTTGAAAGAAATTATTCGCCGCCGCCGCTTTGCGGGGGCAAACGACTAGTATATATATATATATATATATATATATATATATATATATATATATATATATATATATATATATATATATATATATACACTAGCCGTTACCCGCGCACAGCGGCAGGGACAAATAGCTTCTTTCAACGATATAAGAAAAATGTTATGTTCCAAAAGAAAGTTCACGTCGTGGGTGAGAGGAAGGGCGGTAGTCGTGATAGTGGTTGGTTGAAGGCGGAAGGAGGCAGAGCAGCTGTGGTGGTGGTGGTTATACTGTCTTGGTTACTGGTTAGGGTTCTTCGAGAGAGTGTGCGTATATTTCTTACTTTGAAGGGATTACGAAGATAGATATTATGAGATGGCTTGTTACCAATGTGAGAGAAGAGATCCTCTATAAATTGTTGACATTGACCTTTTCAAATGGTTGAAGTGTTGAGATTGACGGGTTCAATTTGCAAATGAATTCTTCTATTAACTTGATATGAGATTTTTAGGGGATAAAGGATAAGGTTAAAGTTTTAATATTATTATATTATAAATGGGTTGTACTTCAAGCTTAATAGTTTGGACGTCTTAAAAAAATAATATTATTATATTCAATCTATTTATAGAAATAGTTAGATTTCTTTTATAAGTAGTAAAGATATATATAGGTACATGTTCATTTGAGACCATTCTAATTTTGTGAGACCGTGAGACCAAATCTAAAAATAATTTTAAAATGCAAAATAAATTGAAAAATCCAAAAATTCTTTTTTTAAAATATTATTTTCGGAACTTGAATTAACTAAAAAAAATCATATTTTTTTTGAAAAATACGTGAAATATTCTAAATAGAATATTACACTGTACATATTCTAAAAATAATTTTAAAACACAAAATAAATGGAAAAATCAAAAAATTCTTTTTGTAAATATTATTTTCGAAACTTGAATTAACTAAAAAAATAAAAAAATGCGTCTCACGGTCTCACAAAATTAGGCCGTCTCACATGAACCTAACCGTATATATATATATATATATATATATATATATATATATCTAATAAATGAAAGTTTTTTTTACCACATGTCATCATCTAATTCAATATGTCACATGATATTTTTTTAATTTTTTTCAATTTCATTTAAATCCACTTGGTAAATTGTGTTTTTTTTGGTTTTGTTATTAAAACATAAAAGAATTGTCTAAAAATATAATAAGAAAAAATAAGAAAACTTAAATGCCACCATAAATTCTCGCATACTATGTCAATTAATGTATTAAAATCAATTTAAATTCAAATCAACTTTCTTAATTGAAAACATATTTTTCGGCAATTTTTTTTGAATTCACTATAATTTACAAAAACCTTGCAAAAATTAGTTCATTCATGGCTAATATTTATATTTTTTCCAAATTCAGTTTTGTAAATTATTAAATATGTAATGCTTAATAAAAAAAATGAATTCTTTTTAAATAAAACACGTGTATTACACGGGTCTCACACCTAGTGTGTGTGTGTATATATATATATATATATATATATATATATATATATATATATATATCTTTACTATCTTATAAAAGAAATCTAACTATTTCTAAAAATAGATTGATTATAATAATAATATTTTTTTAAGACGTCCAAATAATGAAGCTGATAGTACAAGTAAATATTAATAAAATAATATTAAATCTTAACCACATTTTGAATTCAAATATTTATCATCAAATCTCCTTATATTTCTCAACAATTTGATATTGTTCCTTCAAATCCCGGATTCATTCAAATTTTGAACCTTTTTAGATATCCTTAAATTTAGCATGTTGATTCAAATATCCCTCCAATCGCATATACCTCTTTGTTCCCTCATCTACTATAAAGTCCACCGTCTAGGAACAAAAAATGACTTCATCTCCCAAATAACACCATAGTTTGATTATTTTGTTTTCGACATGTACTTTCTTTTGTAACATAACATTTTTGTAGAGGAAACATATCACGAAAGAATTTACACACCCCGCCGCTTTGCGCGGGTACGCTGCTAGTATATATATATATATATATATATATATATATATATATATATATATATATATATATATATATATACTAGCCGTTACCCGCGCACAGCGGCGGGGACAAATAGGTTCTTTTAACGATAGTTTTTAAAGAAAAATGTTATGTTCCAAAAGAAAGTTCATGTCGTGGGTGAGAGGAAGGGCGGTAGTCGTGATAGTGGTTGGTTGAAGGCGGAAGGAGGCCGAGCGGCTGTAGTGGTGGTGGTTATACTATCTTGGTTACTGGTTATGAATCTTCGAGAGAATGTGCATATATTTCTTACTTTGAAGGGATTACGAAGATAGATATTATGAGATGGCTTGTTACCAATGTGAGAGAAGAGATCCTCTATAAATTGTTGACATTGACCGCTTCAAATGACTGAAGTATTGAGATTGAAGGGTTCAATTTGCAAATGAATTCTTCTATTAATTTGATACAAGATTTTTAGGGGATAAAAGATAGGGTTAAAGTTTTATATTATTATATTATAAATGGGTTGTACTTCAAGCTTAATAGTTTGGACGTCTTAAAAAAATAATATTATTATATTCAATCTATTTATAGAAATAGTTAGATTTCTTTTATAAGTAGTAAAGATATATATATATATATATATATATATATATATATATATATATATATATATATATATATATATATATATATATATATATATATATATATATATATATATATATATATATATATATATATATATATATATATGAGTCATTTTTTATTATTCAAACATACCCTTTAAAATCAACACAACACCTCTTCCTATAAAGGCCATCCGTCCCCACTTAGAAATACTTAACTGCATGACTCTTATGATTTTAAAACGGATTGTGAGAAATAAAATATTCATATCCCTTATTAGTTACATATCCGAGTTAATGTCGAAACATGCGTATGGAACCCATCCTTCTTAAAATGAGTGGCGACTACACCTAATCCAAGAATTTTTTTATTGAACAACCAATAAAATATTGTGGTATGTGCTATAGGAGATGTAGAACATCTTTAAATAAACAAAATGTTATTCTCTAGACATTAAAGTATTTATTTTATAAAGAAATAGTTATGAAAAAGATAGTAAATTAAAACTCTCATATAGTCATATGAAAATGGGTAAATATTTTTGTTTATAGATTCTTTTTATAACTTTTACTATTTAAATATAAATCGTCGAGAATCGGTTATAAAAAAAAGTAAATTAAAACTCTCATATAGTAATATGGGTAAATATTTTTGTTTATTGGTTTTTTTATAACTTTTACTATTTAAAGTATGGTTCACTCATTGAAACCGAACCTACATTTTATTTAATCCCATCTCAAAAAAGTGAAGGAAAAAAAATCATGAGATCAAACTAGCTTAGAATGAAACTGATCCAAATCAAACCGAGAAAAAAACTGGTTGAGAACACTGAGGCCTGTCTAACCGAACCGTATCGTTGCGAGATCGATCCAAAAAGAAACGAAACCGTTAGTAGCCATTCTAGCCCAATAAGAACTGGGGCCCAATAACAACTGGGCCAGATTTAGTCCGACGGGCCATGGGGTAAGGCTTAGGTCGGCCCTACTTCCAAATTCCAGCAAAACGAAAGATATACATGAAAAAAAGTCAATACATCCACCGCGTAAAGAGAAAGGAGAAAGTACACGATTCCTTACGACACGTGTACTGCATGGAGCCGTACCAATAAAGACATGCTTTTTCATTCTAACTCCATAGCCTCTCGAATTCGTTGCTAGGGTTTCCACCGCCCCCATTGATGATCAAGCTCTAATATTCTGCCGCTGAATCCATGTAATTAACCATCAGATTGTTACGAAAATGAAGTTTGGAGCTACATTTACGGAGTATTTGCTAGGAGAAAAAGTGAACTCCTTTGATCTCAACAAATGCTCTCATGTCGAGTACAAGAGGCTCAAGAAGGTCCTCAAAGTTTGTAGGCATCATTGTCAGGGTCTGAATCATGCTGACGCTAATAATGGCGCCAGCTGTGGGGACGAGTTTCAAGTTATTGAAGAAGATCGTGATCAGAACAATACAGTTTCTGATATCTGTCGCTATCGATCCTGCCAATGTACGCTTTCTTCTGTCTTATTCCCCACCCCTCACCTGTTTGTCTTCTTTCGTTAATCAAACACTGTCACATCACAATCAATTCGGTCATATAATTTGCTAGCGCTCCAAAATTTATCGTTTTTCTAATTTTTAGTAGTTTTCACGTTTCCCGAAGGGCCCGTGTTTCATTAGATCAGAGAACCAGATTGAAGCCATGACGAGAGTCGGAATGAGTCCAGTTTAAATCGAAGCTACTGTAACTAGTTTGGATGAGAGTACTTCTTACTGTTGGTGGTGGGAAGTTCCATCCTTAGCATCAAAGTCTGATTCTGCGATTCTTAATGCATTTGTCTTTATTGTTTATAATTAGTAATCCTGCTCTTTACACTTGCAGACTCTGATGAACTACCAAATTTGACATTACAAACAGATCCTGAATACGTGTCTTATGTATTGTATATGATTGTGATGTTTTTATTCATGATTTGTTTATGAATGTAGGGTGTGATCGAATGTTCTTCAGCGAGATAATGAAAGAAGCTTCTGATATAACCGGGTGTATTAGCTCTAGAGTCCGACATCTTGTCCAGCTTCATTGCAATACTGGTATGCAGAGATACTTACTACACTTGTTTCAATGTTTCAAAAATGATCAACAAGCACTCGTACTGGAAGGGCAGATGTTAATCGAATATGTTATCATGAATGCTATAGCACTTAGGAAAATTCTTAAGAAATACGACAAAGTAAGCAAATATCATATTCTTTCTTTAGATTGCTGTTTTCTCTTTTCTTTTCGGATTGATGTTATTGCGATTATGATTTCTGTTTGTTTTTCAGGTGCACAACTCTGTAAGTGGCATGAACTTCAGGTCTAAGCTGCAGGCTGAACACTTGGAGATCTCACAATCACCATGGTTGATTGAACTGGTGGCTTTTTATATGAATTTCAGCGAATCAAATGAAATGATCTGCTATGAGCTTTGCAGTTCTTTCTCTTGTGATCTCAGCGTTACAGATTCAGAACCTGTATTGAAATTGGTGGTTCCAGATTATGCAGTTCTGGAATACAATCTAACTTGTGCTGTTTGCTTGGTATGACTTACTATATATCGAATTTATGAAAAATTCATAGCTTAAGATTACGTAAATTGTAAAACGTTTTTACTCTTGATCCTCAGCATACTGTTTTTCATCCATACGCATTGAGCTGTGGACATATCTTTTGCAAGATGTGTGCTTGTTCATCGGGCTCTGTTTTGATGTTTGAAGGGGTGAAATCTGCAAGCCCAAAGATGAAATGTCCAGTTTGTAGAGAGGATGGAGTATTTGGTAATGCAGTAAGGATGACTGAACTAGATTTACTTCTAAAACGAAGGTAAACAAGAAGTGTGTGTTTTATTGCGATAAATTCTTGATATGTTTGCATTTAAAAGGAATTTTACTGAGCATTAATGTGGCATTTGCAGGTTTAGAAAAGAATGGGAGAAAAGACTTGTTGAAGAACGCGATGAAGATGGTAAGCAAACTAAAGAGTTCTGGGAATCACAAACAAGATATTTTACAGGAATTTGATGTGCGATGACAATATTAGAATCATGTACAAGGTCAAGGTAGTACTTTACATTGTTGATTAGGAGTCACAACTCACAAACAAGGCATCGTCTTTCAAGAAAATGATAAACTTTGTTATATATTTTTTTTCCGAGAAATTTAAAGCTCTAAAGAGTATAAAAAAGGAAATGAATTTCTAATATTAATATGGAACAAACTTGTTGGGAATGTTTCAAAAATGGGATTTTGACTTGAAATCGCTTAGTGGAAAACAAAATGGGAAGTGATTCGTACACAACAATTTTTTGCCGTACACAACAATTTATGCATTATAGAGTTGTACAATACAATACTTTAAAGCACAAATTGTTGTGTGCGGAGAAAAGTGTTGTGTACAAATCAGTTCCCAAACAAAATAGGAGGGCTTTTCCCACTTAAAAAAAAGGTAAGAAATATTGAAATAAGGTTTTCTAAAACTAACTATTTATCAAAACTTTATATGTATAATGGTTTTTTAGATCTTAATCTTATGACCAGTATAATTCGATGGATTCGGTTCCAACAATGGTGATTTGGTTATAAAAAAAAACTAAACTAATTTTTTTTACATATGATGTAAAAAAAATCCCTTCACTTTATAGAGAAAAGTTGGTTGTTTTTTTCCATTAACGTGTGGCGAAGTATGATAGCATTATTTTTGCTATATGGCTTCTTTTTACATCAAAATTTGGTTGTAAAAGAAATCCCTTCACTTCATAGAGAATTTTTCCATTAACGTGGCGATGTGTGATGCATTATTTTTGGTATATGGCTTCTTTTTGCATCCAAATTTGGTTGTAAAAAAATCCCTTCACTTTATAAAGAAAAGTTGGATTGTTTTTTCCAATGTTTTAAAAACCGGTTTTTTAATTATTGAACCGGTCGAGTGACGTTTTCCGGTTCAACCGGATGGTCAAACCGGTTCTATATTTTTATATGTTTTTAATTATCCTGCATACATTGATTACAAAAATTTGTTATCTTTTTAGTATTACAAACGTAAATAGAATGCAACATATAAAAACAATCATTATAGAAGTCAAAATCAAACAAAGAAGACCAAAACAAACACAAAAATCCAAGAATGTCCGATTCAACCCGGTTCAATTCAGCCGATTGAACCGGTTTTTTACCAAAACCGACCGGTTCAATACGGTCAGGAAATCATTATAAAACCGGTCCAAATCGAACCGCCCTCACCTCCGGTTCCCGGTTCAACCGGCCGGTTCGAACCGACTTTTAAAACACTGGTTTTTTCCATTAACGTGGCGTGTATGGCTTCATTTTACATCAAAATTTGGTTGGAAGTTAAAAAAAGTACAAAAACTTATAAAAATGGAGGGCGGGAAGGTAACACAAAATTACATCGACTCTATTCTTAAAAGCAAATAAGTGGTAGGCCTGACAATCGTGTCGTGTTTGGGTTGGCGTGTCGCGGGTTGGCGGGTTAGTGGGTCAAAATATGTCAACCCAAACACGATCCATTTAAATATACAAGTCACGGGTTGGCGGGTTTGGAACATAAACCCATATATGACCCACCAACCCATTTATTTATACGGGTTCAAAAGTTGGCGGGTTCGTAGGTTAGATATGGGTTTGTAGGTCCAAATTTTAGATATTTAAGTCTTAAACATCCAAATGAAAATTACAGACATTCATAGAAACATGTTACAGACTTAGTCTTATAGGTTACGACTTATGACCTTAGACCATCCACCACGAGTAATAATGTCAAAACAATCAAATGGTCTATGAATAAATGGTATATATTATATAATAGTTATTAAATATTAAATTTTGATACATAAATACATTTGAAAATATAATAATTTCTTTTATTAAGAATATAAACGGGTTGGCGGGTCAACCCGTTTATTTTTTGAAAAACCCATATATGACCCATTTAATAAACAGGTTGGCGGGTTGAAAAACTCAACCCAAACCTATTTATTTCGTGTCGTGTCGCGGGTCGTGTCGAGAATTATCAGCCCTAATAAGTGGAGCATATTTGTGTATAAGCGACTTTGTTTGGTTTTTGACCAATGACCAAAACAAAATTATATCTTTACGACCGGTTAATGTGTTGGTGTTAGCCATAGGGTATTGGTTAGTAACGGTTAATGGTTTTTGTTATCGGTTATTATTAGTTAACCATAATAGAAAGTACATAATGATGATTTTAGTGTTATCAATGTATTTGGTGTTAAGATTAAAAAATAAAGACTAAATTCACTATCCGAGATAAGAGTTGCATGGTGCATGCTTAGATTGAAATATTTGTGCTCATGAAGTAGGGGGTTCAAGACAACAACCTTGGGGACAGGGTTCCAAGGGGTAGACCCTCGAGAGGGTCTAGAGAAGCCCAAAACAAAAACGAAATCCTATGGATGAAAAAGGCCCAAGCAAACATTTCCCACTAAAACTAATAATTGTGTCATTATGTGTGTGGTATTGTTTTTTTCCTTAAAACTGTATCTTCACATATAAAAAGAAGATAGAAGTTGTAGACAGATGATACACTCAAACAATAACCGAAAACTGGATTTTTCTCCACAGTTCTTTGCCTCTCTGAAAACAGAAAACAACAAGGTATATGTTGTGTTTTGGATTTGGAATAAGTCTATATTCCAAGTCGATTTGTTTTTGAATTATTCAAAATCAAATTTCGTAATATCCGACAATAGGGGTGAAATCACAAATTTTGAAAAATTTATTTCATATATATAATCCCTGAATTATCTAAAGTTATTTATTGATATTCTAAAATCCAAAATCTAATAGTATGTTGATATAAAAAAAATGAGAAGCAATAAGTGCATTACTATAAAAATGAAAATCAAAAAGTGTTTTATTGTAAAAAGAAAAAAAACATAAAGTTTGTTGCAATCTATTATAATAAGTATTTTACTTTTATAGCATCTAAATTGAACCAAACTACCACACATATGGATAAAAATACTATTAAATTATTTGATTCTACTACCTTTTTGGTCTTCAATTAATTAATACCAGTGAAGAGACTCGCACGTTGCACGGATCAGATTCTTTATGCTCATGTTCCATGGGTCACGAAAATAGGACAATATAATTGGTTAATTCTGAAAATACAATGCTTAAGAAAGAAATAAAGTAAAAGCAGATGTTGAAGTTCTAATCTATGTTCCTATTACACATTTAAATAGACAGAAAATGCAGAGAAATTAATAAAACGATTGTATGTGTATGTGTATGTATATGTTAGAGTTTTTAAACCTCATGATCTACAAATAGCCTAGATTTTTTCAATCGTGGTTCTCTAATCGAACAAACAAAAGACTTTCTTTGAATTCATAGTTTTTGCATTACATTTGAAGGCAACACAAAAGGTTAGTAAAATAGTTAGTTACTACAATGAACAAAAGACACCAAGTCAAAGTCCACAGTCAACTCATCTAAACCAAGTAGTTCATCATTCATGAAACCAATTGCTAGTCATTTAGCCAAACAAAATAAAGAGCGTGACACAAACACACATTTTGGAGGCCATGGATGGTGTTCATATTTTCTATGGTTCCATTTCCCTTCTTTTTATCAAATAATTCTTTTTAAAAAATTTATTTTTTTTGTAATTTATCAACTTGCAGGGCGTAGAATCATTAGTTAGTCCTGGTGAAAAGTTAACATCTCCTTCTAGCATATCCTCAAACCAAGCTACCAAAAGACAAAAGCTAGAAATTGGTTATTTGCGTAAGGTATAAAAACTTAACATCTCCCAACATTTACTTCAAATTACCCATCTTTAAAAATATCAAACAACTTCAATTTTCTTTTTTCTTATAAATAGGTTGCCCAATTGAAACATCGCACTACATTTATGCACAAGATTGTGAAAAAGGTTGTAGAAATGGAGGGCAACTCAAATTTTACATGTAATAAAACTACAACTCCCCAAAAACCTAAATTGGTAACAGAAGAAATAGCTAAAAGGCTTACCTACTATTTCTAACATTTATGCCATTTATATTGTATAAAGTAAGAAAGAAACATTTGCAACAATTTAATGATTTCTACATCTTTTTTTTTTCTTACATTTAGGCCCCATAATAAATATGAAGCATTTCAACAACCAAAAGTAAACACTCTTAAACCACAGTCACTCGACAGAAAAGTTGGTGCTTGTAATAATTTACTACTTCGTAACGAAATTTTTTCCCATCCAATGATACTAATTCAGAGGTTAGATAACTTGGATTGTGGAGATTTTATTTTCTAGAATTTGAATATTTATTAGTTTCTTTTGGAATTAAGGTTTAAAATTTTTAAATGTTATGTATTTATACTGTTAGTGGTTTCTGACTTTGAGTTTGGTTATTTATTACAGCTAAAACTTTGGAAATGATAAATGCAGATCACCAAATAATCTGAAAGCTTGCAATAGCATCAAGGTGCATACAACTTTACAAAATAATAATATTTGAAGGAATGATATGGATAGGTAAAGAGTAATGTGTAACGCATGGTTCGTGGTACGCATTTAAATAATAATTCTTTCATTTTTATAAAGCAGCTCGACGAGTTGGTAGCCCAGACTCGTCGAGTAGAGACTAGAAAGGGACGTGGGTTTTGAAGTCTACTCGACGAGTTGGAGTTGGAAGCCCTAACTCGATGAGTAGGTCTGCCAGAATAAAACCCTAATTTCGGGGTTTTGCACCATATTTAAGCATCTAAATCTCCACTTATTGGCCTCATTTCCAGCCTCCAAGTCCCAAACCCTAATCCAAGAAACCCTAGTGCTTTGTATGATCTTGTGAGTTGTTTTTGAGTGAATATTGTGTGTTTTAAAGCTTGTTGAAGAAGGAGGGGCTTGAGGATTCAGAAGGAAGCTAGTAGATCCAGAAACAACATCTCATCCTCTTTATTTTCTGTTAAGCAAGTCTCAAACTTGCTTAATAGCTTGTTAGATCTCCTTGTTATCATTTTATTGGGTTTTTGGTTCAAGAAACATGATCTTTGGGACATGGACGTCCCAAATGGATATACTTTCAGATCTATGACCTTGAGGGGCTCACATAGCATTAAGGTGAAAACTTTATGGCCATGGAAGCCCCATGCAAGCAATAAGTTGTCATTTAGCCTTTTAAAGCTCCAAAAGGCTATACATGGGAGGGAAGTTAGGAACTTTACGTGTTCACAAAGTGCTTAGAGTATAGATCTCAGTGAATATGCCTTAGTTTGGAGTATGGATGGCGTATGGACCAAGATCTAGGTCCTAAAGGGTTACGGTTTGAGCTAAACCCATGAAATATAAGTATTAACGGGTAAAGTTGGAAACTTTACCCTTAAAATGAAGTTTTCAGTATGCATGAGAGATAAGACGCTTAGATATGACGAGTAGATGCTTAATCCTGTAAGAAATCCCAAACAAATTGAGGAACTCGTCGAGTTTGGTCGTTTTGTCCCGATTTTGTACCAAGTAGAACTCGATGAGTTTGAGGAGGGATTCGACGAGTTGACTGATTTTATCGCGACTACAAGTAGCAGAGGAACTCGACGAGTCAGGGGGACGAATCGATGATTTGGATCGTGATTTTAGGATTTCTGATTGATAGAACTCGGTGAATTGATGGGTCAACTCGGCAAGTTGAGTCAACCCAGAATGTTGACTTTGACCAGGGGTAAAGTAGTCATTTTACCGTAAGAAATATTTTAGATATGGATTAAGTGTTATTGTGATGATGTTAGTTGGGGAGTCGCGGAATCAGCTGATAGAGATTCCACCCGAAAGATTTAGCAGCCAGCTTTGTGAGGTGAGTTTTCCTCCAGTAGGAACGAGTTGAAGGAACCAATGCCTTTCCATTTATGTATGTTAGCGTATGACGGACTTAGGTCCGATGTCGGGGTTAGACCGATGTTGGTTATATGTTCCGGACTCCGGTCTGATGCTGGGGAAATCCCGAGGAATGTTTGTATGCTTGATGTCTCCATGATTCTTGCATGTATATTTGTATGGAATTAAGGTGCAAACTTTATGGCCATGGAAGCCCCATGCAAGCAATAAGTTGTCATTTTGCCTTTTAAAGCTCCAAAAGGCCATGCATGGGAGGGAAGTTAGGAACTTTACGTGTTCATGGAGTGCTTAGAGTCTAGATCTCAGTGAATATGCCTTAGTTTGGAGTATGGATGGCTTGTGGACCAAGATCTAGGTCCTAAAGGGTTACAGTTTGAGCTAAACCCATGAAATAGAAGTATTAACGAGTAAAGTTGGAAACTTTACCCTTAAAATGAAGTTTTCAGTATGCATGAGAGATAAGAAGCTTAGATCTAAAGAGTAGATGCTTAATCCTTTAAGAAATCCCAAACAAATTGAGGAACTCGTCGAGTTGGGTCGTTTTGTCCCGGTTCTGTACCAAGTATAACTCAATGAGTTTGAGGAGGGATTCGACGAGTTAAATCATTTTATCGCGACTACAACTAGCAGAGGAACTCGACGAGTCAGGGGGACGACTCGACGATTTGGATCGTGATTTCAGGATTTTTGATTGATAGAACTCGGTGAGTTGATGGATCAACTCGGCAAGTTGAGTCAACCCAAAATGTTGAATTTAACCCGAACGTTGGCTTTAACCAGGGGTAAAGTAGTCATTTTACCGTAAGAAAGATTTTGGATATGGATTAACTGTTATTGTGATGATGTTACTTGGAGAGTCGCGGAATCAACTGATAGAGATTCCACCTGAGAGATTTAGCAGCCAGCTTTGTGAGGTGAGTTTTCCTCCAGTAGGAACGGGTCGAAGGAACCAATGCCTTTCCATTTATGTATTTTAGCGTATGCCGGACTTAGGTCCGATGTCGGGGTTAGCCCGATGTTGGTTATATGTTCCGGACTCTAGTCTGATGCTGGGGAAATCCCGAGGAATGTTTGTATGCTTGATATCTCCGTGACTCTTGCATGTATATGTTTATTTGTTCTAGGCTTCAGCCCGATGCCGGGGAAAGCTCGAGGAATGTTTAGCTTATATGTTATGTGTTATATGTTCCGAGCTTCAGTTCGATGCCAGGGAAAGCCCAAGGAACGTTTAGCTTATATGTTTATGTTAAGTGTTTATGTTATATGCTTATTGATATGTTATATGTATACCAGACTTAGGTCTGATGCCGGGAGGGGCCTGATGCCGGAATTCGATCCAATGTCGTGTGTGGCCTGATGCCATATTTATTCGATGTCGGGTGGGGCCCGATGTTGTGGGAAAGGCCCAATGTATGCTATTATGTGATTATGTGTATGATATGTGGTAGTTTGGGGAGACTCATTAAGCTTCATGCTTACAATTTTCAGTTTTGGTTTCAGGTACTTCCGCTAGCAGGGGGAAGAGCTTAGGATGACTGTGTTGGTTCAAAATTATGGTTTATACTTTACTTTTCTAGGAAAATGTATTTTTATGTCTAGGACCGTAAACAGCTCAGTGTTTATGGCTGTGTGTACGGCCGTACATGGGTGTACGACCGTAAACCTGTGTACGGCTAACTGTCTCATATATATACGGTAAGGAGTGCTTGAGAGAAAAGGGGCTAGAGAAGGAGAGCATATTGTAGACAGAGAAACTAGAGAGAAGATTATATGGAGCATCACTCATATCTGTGAATACATCATAGATTCAAGTTATTCTTCTTGTCCTTCTATTTTATTTTGATCTGGCATCATTCGTTTGATTGGGATTCCGCACCATCAAACGGATCTGATTGATACAAAAGTAGATTGGGGACTTACAAGTGGTATCAAAGCAAAACAGGTGTCAAATCATATTACAATCAAGTTCACGGTCAAAGAAGCTTAGTTTCATCACTGTTCGAGGCCTGATTTGGTGTCTTGACAACAAAAGGGGATCAAATCTGTTAAAAATTTGTGTTTTCATCAAAATCTTGGCATTTACGGTCAAGAGTTCACGGCCGTAAACTAGCAATCTTCATAAACCGAAAACTCTGTTCACGGCCGTAAACTCCATTCACGGCTGTAAACTGATAATCTTTAGTGACCGTAAACAGGCAATCTTCCGAAACCGTAAAGAAGCAATCCTCAAAGACCGGAATCTCAACCGTAAACTCCACAACCGAAATCTCAACCGTAAACTGTGTTTACGACCGTAATCGTGTGGGTCGTAAACTAATCCTTTGGTGTTTTAGTTCATTTTTCAAGACATTTTCAATTAAAAAATTAAAAAAAATGGATTCTCAAATCCCAAACATTCATCATGAATTTGATTCAATCATGGGAACAACCACTCGCATTCCATGCTTGTTATCTGCAGAAGGATTCTCGGAATGGAAATACCGGATTGAGAAATACATCAAGATGAAAGACTTCAAGGTTTGGCGAAGCATTCTCACAGGACCAGTCATAATCACCACTACTTTTGTGAATGGACAAATAATTGACAAAGTGTATGCTGATTACACTGATGAAGACTTCGAAAAGTTTGAAGAACAGGAAAGGGCGTTGGCTACTTTGACTATGGATTTATCTCTTGATATTGCTCAAGGATTCAGAGACTATGATTCAACCAAGGCATTATGGGAAGCTTTAATTTAGGTCTATGAGGGTAATGAAGATATAAAACATAGTCACCAAGATATGTTAAGATAGAAATTCAATATGTTTAATCATGTTCTTGGAGAAACTCTAGAAGCCCAGTTGCAGCGTTTTATCACACTCACCACTGAAATGAGTTCAACTGGGGTTTATGTGACTAAGTCTGAGATAAACAAAAAGTTGCTGAAATCACTTCCGAAGGCATGGGATATGAACGCGACTGTCATCAAGAAGACAAAAGTTCTCAATCGTCTTAGTCTTTTTGAAACTATGACAATCATCAAAGCCTGTGATCTTGATGATAAGCAACGAGAGATCAATCATGTGAATTCCTACTCAACTGCAAATCTTGGGATTTCTTCAAATAATGCATTTTCATCTTTTACCTCCTCTCCAAGTCAAGCTTTTTCCGTTCAACA